AAGTTCTAGCAGACACACATACTGATTCTTTTTGGCAGAAATTCCTGGAATATTTTTACGTTGCAGTAATTAAGACCGTTCAACAGTTCAAATGCAGATGAAGATTGTCCAGTTAAAGCAAAAGCCTGAAGCAAAGCAGTGTCCAGCGTAGCTGCCGTATCTCTAGCCACCGAACGGATGGGAATATTTGATCAACCCTGTTGAATGGAAAATCAAATATGCAGGTTTTTTTAAGAAAGCATCCTGTAGCACTGTCGCACATAATGAGCAATAAATGCTGAAACTTGAAGAAAAACGTCTGTTTGTATGACATATTTTCTACCATAGTTAATAAAATATTTTCTAGTACCAAATTATGCTCAAATCTAGATATATGAGAGAGAGATTTTTATCCAGTTTTGAAATTGTTCTTTTAGACTATTATCCACAAAAGATAGAAAGTTAAATATAGTGGCTTGATGTGATGGATAAAGGTAATGCAAAAATTTTGTAGACTAAAACAGATGGCACAAAACCAAATGGCCAATTAATTACGCTCAACCTGGGGTAGGCTAACAAATCTTACCTTTTCTTTTTCCTAGATGAGACAGAAACCACTTCGTGGAATGAAAAAGAGGGAAAACAGAAAAAATTTATTTGATAGGGGATAATTAGCAAAAAAACATCCTTATCGTTTGTACTTATTGCGAAAATGGTATTTATCGTTTTGAACCTACTATTTACACCCTCATTTCAAACCTTTTTTTTGCGGAATCGGTCCTTTCCGTCATATCCCTTTAAATCCTTTCGTTAAATATGTGTAATCTGATGTAAAAGGTCCCTATTGTTTGCTGTAATTGTGCAAATAGTTCATATCATTTCAATTTTGACATTTGGATATTCAAATTGACATTTTTTTGCTTAAAAGGTCCTTGCGTCCATTTTTTCTATTATAACATTATGAAATGACTAATTTATCATCATCTTTAAATAAACAAATAGAAAAAAGAAATAATATAAAAAAAAATTGTATCTAGAGTTTCTAATATTTTTTAAAAATTCCAGACAAATCTCACATATAAAAAGTTAAAACTCTAATAAAAAAATATTTTATATTCCCAAATAACCCACCTACCCCTACCCGTACGCCTATCCTCCACGACCAAAATAATTAAAAAGAGAATTAAAAGTATGAAAAAATATTTGATGAGGAATAAACATCATTTTGTTTTTATATTTTTTTTTCTATTTTTAATTTTTTTTTTAACTTTTATTATATTGTTATTTATCTCTTTAATTAATTTTGTGGTGGTTATGGAGTGTAGGGGATGGGCGGAGAGTACGTGGGTTAATTGGGAAGATGAAATGTTTTTGTTTATCCGAATGTTTTAATTATTTTCTTGAGACTCGTTTGTACTTCTAAAAAAAAAAAATTAGAGACTTTAGATAGAATTTGTTTATATTATTTCTATTTTATATTTGGTTCTTTAAACATGATGATAAATTAATCATTTCATAATGTTATAATAGAAAAAATGGACGCAAGGACCTTTTAAACAAAGAAATGTTGATCTAAATATCCAAATATCAAAATTAAAATGATAAGCACTATTTGTGTAAGTAAAGCAAACAATAGGGACCTTTTACATTAAATTATACATATTTAACGGATGGATTTAACGGAATATGACGGAAAGGACCAATTCTGCAAAAAAGGTTTGAAATGAGGGTGTAAATAGCAGGTTCAAAACGATAGGGACCATTTTCGCAATGAGTACAAACGATAGGAACGTTTTGTTGCTAATCACCCATTTGATAGGTATCAAATTCTTTGGGTCTTGTAAAATACCTAAGCATGTGACATCTTTGAACTTGAGTAAATACAGAAATCCAACAATATTAAAAAAAGGAAATGCACTTGGTAGCCAACAGTTTTCACAATAAAATATATAACACAGTAAATTGTCAATTTTAGGACTAATGGAAGGGTCTTTACTTTGCATGTTATCAACGTAATTCACATAGTGGATTTTTAAACATAATACTGTGCAAACAAATTATTGTATTTGACAAAAAAGAAAAAAATAATAAAAAAATAAAAGCAGTGTCCTTTCTTTTTTATGGATAACTCAAATAATTTACTAACATATGCGCCAAGGGGGAACAACCCACAGACAAATATTGGACTTAGAACACAGTAGTGAACTTTGTATGAAGATTTCATAGCTGGAAAATAATCTAAGACAAGGCCTGCCACATTAATTTATTAAGGAACAGTAGTGGTCTGTCAACAGTGCAATTTCTATGAAGAACTTGCTCATAACTATAAAAAGATGTAAGACAAGGCCTACCATGTTATTTATTAATAAAGAAAGGCTGTGGCCCCCCAGGACACATTCTAATTGGCAAAAATGAGGACGCTTCAAGGTAGGTAGATCAGAGGTCATGAATTTGATTCCTGGAAGGCTCTTGAAAGGTAGATATTCTCCTGGAAGGCAGGAGCTCTACTGGAAGGTAATGTGCAAAGATGGGAAACGACTTGTTTGGCACTTTGGCAGATCAGTTGAGAGGGCTCTTGAGCACTGGTCAGTTTGGGGCACAACCTGCAGTTTAACCTGTCTGTAGCTTGAGGGGTCAAGGTGTACGCTCCAGAATTTAGTCACTTTAAGGTGGATACCTGGATATCAAAAAAAAAAAGGCTGTGACTCAATATGGGGGAGTTGTAACCAGTGAAAAATCATGAAATAGAATACGGGGAAGCAATATTAATCAAAAATATGGATTCCATTGCTGAAAAACAATTTAGGAACCCTCATGCTACACTGTGCTCCAGAATATCAGCAAATACAAATTCTTGGTTTCCAATGTAGATGATAATAAAGACCATGAAAATATCATCCTCCATCTAGTCAGTTTGACCACTTACACCACCTTCAATTCATCCGCATAAAGAGTACCCATATGACCTGGGAAACAAAAACAATGCAAACTTATATGGGAGAGTTCTAACTGGTGCCACTACCCTATGATCACAACCACTGCATTCTGCATTCCATCTTTTACAACCGGTTCTTTCATTTTTGCCAAAAAGAGACAAGCACCATAAGATGCTTCAAAATATTTAGAAAATTAAGTTTAAGTTGACATTGATAAGGATTATTGGCTTGGTTTCTGTTCACAACCACTTTCATCTACAGAGAAGATGTTGGGGATTGATTAAAAATCGAATGAAAAAGAAGGAATATCGAATGCTCGAAATTATACGTAATATAGTGCTGCTGCACTTTTTTATAATTGTAGAAGAGAAGATATTATATTGTAAATTTTTGTGACTTCGATACTCTTAATGGCTTGAGTTACATGGGTATTTATAGATAAGATTTAACATGTATCTAGCCTAACTCATGAACCAACATTGGATAGATACGTTTCTCCTCCTCTAGTACATTAATGGACAAATGCATGTATAATTATAATTCATGAATCTAGATAATAATTGCAAATTACGTTTCCAACACCCCCTCTTAATTTGCAATTTTGAGAATGTCTCTTGCCTTTTGAAATTTCTCGACATAGATCGCCTTGGTTAGAAAGTCTGCGGGTTGCTCATTCGTTCCAATGAATTCCAAGCTGATTTCACCATTACTCACCATATCTCAGATGAAATGATGTTGCAACTCAATGTGTTTTGTTCTCGAATGAAACACCGGATTTTTTGTCATGGCTATCGTAGACATATTGTCACAATAAATTACTGTGGGCTGTTTTTGAACTTGTTTCAAATCTGCTAGTAATCGTCTCAACCAAATAGTTTCGCAAGTTGCATCTGTAACAGCAATATACTCAGCTTCCGCGGATAATAACACTACTGTTTTTTGCTTCTTTGAACTCCATGAAACAACATTAGTTCCGAGACAAAATAAATAACCTGAAGTGCTTTTTCTATCATCCAACGAACCTCCCCAATCACTGTTGCTATATCCAAATCAACTTGCTCTCATTTTCTTTTACATATTTGATGCCTATTTTCTTTGTTCCTTGCAAGTATCTCATGACTCTTTTAGCTGCTGCAAAATGAAGTTGACTTGGTTCATTCATGAACCTTGAGATCATGCTCACGGCTTGAACAATATCCTTTGCGTAGCAGTTGTCCAACACTAAGGAGGTTACTAGTCAAATTAGGCACATAAAGAACATCACCAATGAGCTTTTGGTTACCTCCTTTAGTTTGAACAGCAATAGTTCCCTTTCCTTCAGTGCGATGTAACTTTCCATCACTAAGCTTCACTTCTGAATTGAAATTCTTATCAAGATCAATGAAAATTTTTTTATTTCCAGTCATGTGACTGCTGCAGCCGCTGTCTAGGTACCACACATTTTTTGATTGTTGTTGAGCCGTCATACAAGAGAAAAGCTGTTCATCTTCATCTTTGGAAAAGTTTGCTTCATCCTTCTCATCTTTGTTCTGGTAATAACAATCTCTTTAAGAGTGGTTAGGATTTCTGCATCTCTTGCATTTGTAGAAGCAATCATTTGTTTCATGATTTGATTTTCTGCAAATTTTGCAAAAAATATTTGCATTTCCAGCTTGACGATTTGGATTTCCGTCATAGTTTTTTGATTGGTTGCCTTGTGATCTTCCTTTTCCTCTTCCTCGAAATGATCATCCTTGTCCTCGTGATGATTCTCCTCTTCCTTGGAAAGAACCTCCTCTTCCTTAGGAAGATACTCCTCTGCCTTCTTGCCGCTGTTTAGAATTTGAATTATAAAATTTCATTTTGGACTCAAATGCTTGCTCAAGTGGCTGATTTGAGAACCTGCCAATTCTTTCTTCATGTACTTGCAGGGAACTCATCAAATCGTAAAAAGTATATTTAGACAAATCTTTTGATTCTTCAATAGCGGCGACAATATAATCATATTTCGCGGGAAGGCTTCGAAGGACCTTTTGAATTGTGTCGCCAAGGCTTCTGATTTGATTTACTATTTCGGAGACTCGAGTTAGATAGAATTGCGTAATTTCATTATCTTTTTTTGATAAATTGTCGAACTCCCTCCAAAGAGATTGAAGCTTTAGAGATGTCACCTTGTCATTGCCATGAAATCCCTCATTTAAGATATTCCAAGCTTGCTTGGCTCTTTTGACACCGTGAATTCGAGGATATATGGTCTTGCTTAATCCTTGTTGTATAAATCTAAGAGCACTTGCATCTCTCCATAAATTTTTCTTGTAATCTTTTTGTTGAGCCTCCGTCCATTCTTCTTCTTCTTCTTCATTATCATCAGGTTCCGAAAATCCATCTTCAACAACTTCCCACAAATCTTGCGAAATGAAGAGTGTCTCCATTTGACTACTCCAATAATCAAAATGCTCTCCTTCAAATATGGGAACTTGGTTAGGAGTATAGGAAAACATGGATGTAGAAACATGATTTGCTGCCATGCTTTGGAGAGGGGAAATAAAATTTGAGATACGTATAGAGAACTAAGCTCTGATACCAAAAATTTGTTGGGGATTGATTAAAAACCGAAAGAAAAAGAAGGAATATCGAATGCTCGAAATTATACGTAATATAGTGCTGCTGTACTTTTTTATGATTGTAGAAGAGAAGATATTATATTGTAAATTTTCCTGACTTCGATACTCTTAATGACTTGAGTTACATGGGTATTTATAGATAAGATTTAACATGTATCTAGCCTAACTCATCAACCAACATTGAATAGATACGTTTCTCCTCCTCTAGTACATTAATGGACAAATGCATGTATAATTATAATTCATGAATCTAGATAATAATTGCAAATTACATTTCCAACAGAAGAACGGAGATTTCAAATGCATGAGAACCAACCAATTATATGTATATCCGAAATTTCCAACTTTGATTACAATTTTAATGTGATCTTTTCCATTACACCTCAGAATTCATGCTTTCCTCCTTTTCTCTCTAGTAGGAAAGAATGACCTTTGTGTGACAGAAATTTTATATGAATTCTCTCTTAATAGTCTGAAGCTAGAGGCAATGATACTAGAGAATGAAGGGTAGAAGAGAACAAGACTAAATCACATACGGCCTAATCTGGCTTTATGCTTTAACTTTTTGGCTAATGTGTTTATATATTCAAGTTATAAATTCTTTGTTGCTTGTTTAAATGCAAGATAGAGCATTCACTTGTTCATGGCAGAATGCATTTTTTGGGGCTTCAAAGGTATGTTTAGGAGTTGTTAATGGGATATGTTATAACCTAAGGAAACAATTAGTCAATTCTTAATCTAGAATGATTTTCTAATGTCCTAGAAGTTAACAACACAAGACTGAATGCAAATAAATTTTTTTTTTCATGGCAAGTGACTCTTCTTTAACTCCATCTAGAATCGAAAGGTTACCACTCTTCACATTAAACCCACAGCTACAATCTACAAATAGAAGTAACAATTTTTAGTTCGCATGCTTTCTCTTATATTAGATCTCCTTTTCTATAATTTTTTATTAACACGCAACTTTTCTCTTCTTATAATTCTCAAATACAATTTCATAGAAGCAAACTAGAGCTATTTAAAAGAATAGAATGCTTATGTTTTATGAAACCTCAAGACCCTGTTCCACATAATCCCAAGGTCCAAAATATGGCATTTGACATGCCCACTATATAAGTGAACCATACACGATTTACTTAGCTAAGATTAAGCAACCTAGTCCAGCAAATAGAATTAACATACTTAAAGATAATAACAATCAAAAACCACTTCAATCGGTAAATGAGACCAATACACGGGGACTTTAAAAATTTTCTACTTTATAAAACTGCGAGTGATTTGATTAATGTCTTGATTGTCTTCAACGGAAGAATTGCAGCACTTAGAATCACAAAATACAAAAGCAAAACACAACAGCATACCTTCCCTGCTTTCTTTGAACGATTAGTTCCATAAGCTAGAAAATCATTTCCAACAGTATTAGAAACAGCCTCCTCAGTTCCCTCAGCAGTTGCTTTCTCAATAATGCTGGATCTCTTCTTCTGCATAAACTTAATGAGAGCCATCAGAGTATTGGGGCTCATTTTTTCCAAAAACTTAATGCAATCTCCTCAGAGTCCAATACATGCAATGAAGGTGAAGATTCCATATTATCTGAGATGCCAGAGGAACCTCTTGAAAGATCTGGAACCTCCACAATGATATCTGTGTATTTCTCTGGTTCAGGCATCACAAATGATTTTGGTAGTATGATGATAGTTGGAAAAAATGAGAGAATATAAGTGATTTCCACTTGAGATGCTAAAAAATGTTCCAATGCCTCCTCATAGTTTCCGTTTTCAAACAAATAGTAAGCGTACCTGTACATGCACAATAGTTCAACATCACAAACTTTTACATATGGAATAAGTTTCAGGAACATTACATACATGATTACTTTACGGAAGTCTAGCTTAGAACATACACTGAGAATGAAGTCAGTCAACTGTATCTATTCTCCGACCATTTAGCATCTCAGCACTTTTATACTCTCTTGCATCAACATAGCACACGGTTATTGTGATTCTTTCTCTCTCTTTCTATGTTCTCAAAAAATAAGAAACTGATTTATGCCATTTAATCTATCATAGTTTGCAAGACTGCATTAATAGGCATTGGAGATACACTTTGTTAGTTTTTTCCACAATACTAGGAACTATTCTTGAGATTTCAGATGTTCTTGGTAAGCACTGCAACCTTTGGAAAAAGTAAACAAATTTTGCCAGTTTCAGCAATACTTTTTGCCTTAATTGTATACAAATCATAAGGAACATGCTTCTTTCTACATGAACATATAATGTTCATTTTAGCAAACTTTTCTCTGTTGGTATTCTGACCGACACATGTTTCAATTTAATGAATTATCACTCTAAAGATTTGTAATGAACCCAACAATTGAACAAAGCATTAGAATGAAATTTTGAAGTTTGTTCCAAATATTCAGTTCCTCTAGTCCATTTGATGTAAGGTCAACTGCTTTCAACATGTTATTATATCTTATTCATTCCTTTCAGTCTTGGTGTTCTAATAAAAATAATCTGAAAAGGTTGGTCTCTTCTTTAAAATTCTAATGGTATTGAGTTCCTTATTTAAACAATACAACTTGATTGATATAGCAACGTAATACAGCTGAACTCTTTGGTGCCCAGAAGACCAAACACCTACACCAAAGGCATTGGCCATCTTATCCTAGAGTCAAGCCAATGTGAATGTGCATGAAAACATTTTTCCTCAAAGTTTATTACAAAGAAGTGAAAATAAAAGAAGTTGAATTCCGAATTATTGAGCAGCCAGCAAGTAGATCATTCAATAAGATGTGCTCATCACCGGATCAAACTGCACAAAACTTATACGTGGGTTAGAAACTCACAATTCTTGATGTTAATTTCTTACTAGTTAAGTGCACCAGATAGACTTGGATAAGAGAAACAACAGGTTACAAGGGCATACAACTACCTTATATGAATTGACTGCTCCTTTGGGGCCTGAAGGCTTGAATCTTCTGGTGCAAGTAATTTGCACAAAGCTAGTGCTTCCTCAAAATCCCCAGATGCTCACGATCTGCGGGATAAAATAAACTATTTTCTTGGAACTTTTATTAGGTTCAACAGTGATATATTTCCTAGGATTTCTCAACCACTTGGCCCCCCTTGAAAATGTAACATTCATTTCATAAAAAAAAATCTTCTTTGTTCAAAAAGTCAGAGAACTGGAGGGCAGGAATATTTATGAATTCAATTTCTGTTTTGCTTCAACGTAGAGTCATTCTTCTCTATGAACAAAACATAATGAAATTGTTCGTACAACATTGATACAGAATTCTGAGTTGTTTTAGATACATCACTTCAAAAACCTTCGTAACAGAACACAATTCTGGAATTGCATAAAAAAAGATGGAAGTGCCTTGGATTTTCTAGATGGTGTTCTATACCTGTGCACCAAGAAGAACAGGAAACAAGCCATAAACAGAATTGTCTACCACTACAATAGTAACATTCACTTCGAAGGAGACCATGAACATTGCTGAGAACAATCGTTTGTATCAACGGATAAGGAGATCAAAGGGACCGTATCTGCATATTCATTAAAAACTGAACTGAAGAAATGCAGATAATAAAAGGAGAGGAAAAAGGTCATTGTTTGAAGTTCAGGATACCTCAACATGTTGTATTAAGAGACCTAGATCATATGGATTCTCAATGGTAACTTCTGCAGGATCCTCTGACCAACAAATACTGCCTTCCTGAAGAAGCTTACCATTTTGGTCAACAAACACACTAATATTATCCTGAAGAAAATGGAAACAGCTTATTTCTGTTAATTTATTGAGATGGATCCTAAAGACAAGAATTGATAAAAATAAAGATGGATATGCTATAAGAAATATAACTATTCTGAACAAACTGAATAAAAGAGAACAGGGAACAGATAATAAAATAAATCCTTCAAACTGAAGTTATTACAGGAGTTTATTCTCGAAATTTGTCAATACAAATGAACTTTGTCTATATACCATGACCAAATGCATGTTAATGTTACAGGGATGCTGACAAATCATCACTCTAATGATCATTTGCCCGCACAAATCATCTCCTTAAAGAAAAACCCAAACTGTGATATGCGCATATGTGTTGTGCTAGTCATATACCGAAGCCAACAGAAGCATACATGTTGTATTTATGTAGGTTGACTATTTTTATTATATATATTTCCCAGGCTGATCTCCTCTCTTCACTGCTATCACTGCTCAAGAATTCCAAATCAGGCCCAGAGATTAGAAGCACTAATAATTATCCCGTGTAGTCAAAACTCAGCTTTTGAACAAAAAACCTCCAAAAGAATTGGGTATAATCTTCAACTTTGGTATGTCTCACAAAGTTGCCACAAGAAAACTTATTTTTACCTGCTAGGACATGATAAAAATGGTCATATATACAAGGGCTTAAGCAGCAATAAGTAAAATAGAACAAAGAAATGATCTGAATCATAACAACAGTATACATATGCCTTAGCTAGGAAAATAAAATTAAACTTGTTTTGGCTACAACAGCATGTCAGAACTATAGAATGAACATCAAGGAATAACGAAAAGCAATTGATCATATTTAACCTTCGAGTGTGTACACTTTTCAACTGTAGAATTAAAAAAAAGGAAAGATGTTGTGTCTTGTCTGGTAGGGTTATAATCTAAGTCATTCAATTTTTAGAAGTACTGTTCACTGGTGCCTTCACAATTAGATGAACACTGATCCTAGCTTGCAAATAAATACTATAGCATGCACATTATGACTGTGATTTTTTAAAGAAGTCCTATTTTGATGATAATGACATAAAAAATAATAAAATTTCTAGAAGACAACGAACATGGCCACACCAATTCTTATATCTACACATATACAGGAATTCCTGAATGTAAATTACAA